GCCCCATGTCACCCACACCCCCCTGAACACCCCCCTACCACCAACAGCCCCCGGCACAGCTCAATGCCACCCACAGCCCCATGTCACCCACAGCCCCCTGCCCAGCCCCCTGCCACCCACAGCCCCCTGCACAGCTCCATGTCACCTACATCCCCATGTCACCCACACCCCTGTGCCCAGCCCCCTGCCACCCACACCCCCGTGCACTGCACGCTTGCTGGGGCGGCGTGTCCCCCCAGGACCCTGCTGTGCCACCTCTCCAGCTTCCTGCAGATTCCTCTGCCCTGAGCTGGGGGATGGCAGCCCGACAAGGACCTGCTGAGGATGCCAAATAGGGCGATTCCCGGCTCCTGGCAGCCGCTCCCGCTCCGGTGGTGGAGGAAAGTTTATCCTGGGCGCTCGCTGGGCTCCCAGGGCGGCAGCCGCAGGGCGGGCACGGGGCTGGGTGAAAACGGGAGCCAGCCCTCCCACCTGCACCCATCCTCCTCCTCCTTGGGACCCACCAGCCTCATCCTCACCTGGAGCGGGGCTGGGGGGCAGAGGCTGGATGGGATGCTGTGGGGTGAAGCCAGATGGTGGGAGCATCCCTTCTCCTCCAAAAGAAAGTGGGGCTGGGGGTGACAGTGGTCCCCGTGGGCTCCCATTCCCCACCACGGGGGAACATAATCCCCGGGGGCACCTTATCCTCTGTGCCCGTCATGGCTGAGCCACGAGCTCCCATGGCAGCTTTTTGGCACAGGAGGTGCTGGCACCTACGTGTGGGGACACCACGGGGTTGGAGGAAGGTGGCATCACTGGGGAGGCCACAGTTGGGGCGTCCCATGTCGGGGATCGGCCACCCCCGCAGATCCCCCAGCCCACAGACTCACCTATAAACATTGACATTTGCAGGAGGGAGTGGGGCCGGCCGGGCTGCTCGGCCCCAGATGGAAAATATGTGGAGCACAGAGTGGATGTAAACACGCCGTGGGGCCAGGGGTGGCTGAGGTGCAGGTGGCCACTGTGCTGCCAACCCACCTGTGGGGACGGCCACCCCTGAAAGTGGTTTTCCAGGTGGCTGCGCACCCGGGGCTGGGCTCGGGACAGGGTGGCACAGCGATGGCTCCAGAGTGTGCCAAAACACTTCACTGCCCAAGCATGAGCTGCAAACACCCAGGGCAGGGAGAGGGATGTGGGGTGGGGGATGTTATGCCTGGCCACAGCAGGGATGGAGATGGAGGGAGGGATGGGGACACGGAGCCCAAGTGGGGCAGGGATGGAGATGGAGGGAGGGATGGAGACATGGAGCACCCAGGGCAGGGAGAGGGATGTGGGGTGGAGGACGTTGAGCCTGGCCACAGCAGGGATGGGGACGTGGGGACAGGGACACTGAGCCCGGTGGGGCAGGGATGGGGATGGAGAGATGGGGACACTGAGCCTGGCCACAGCAGGGATGGAGATGGAGAGAGGGATGGGGACACAGAGCCCAAGTGGGGCAGGGATGGAGAGAGGGATGGGGACATGAAGCCAAACTGGGGCAGGGATGGGGATGGAGGGAGGGATGGGGACACTGAGCCTGGAGGGGCAGGGATGGGGCTGCTGAGCCCGGCTGGGGCAGGGATGGGAATGTGGGGACGCAGAGCCTGGCCGGGCAGGGACAGTCCCGGGCCATTTCTTCTCCCTTGGGTAGCTCCCCCAGGGCTGGGCACAGAGAAGGGGTCGGGTTGGTGGCTCGAAGGGTGACTGCCACCTGCACACTGTGGGAAGTGGGACCCGGGAGCAAATCCATGCCCACTTCAGTCCCTGGGTAGGGGCAAGATGGTGGGTACCTTCACGCCCACCTCATGGTCCTGATGGTCCATGGTCCTGCTCTCTCCATCCTCCCCAGTCCCAGCCACAACCAGGCAGGGACAGCTTGGCCAACACCCCCCTCCTTCCCCATGAGGCTGAGAGCCTGTGACCACTGATTGCTCCCCAGGGACTCGTCCCTGGGCTCACAGGCAGAGCCCAGGACCACCTCGATGGGTGGTGACAGTCCCGGATGCGTCCCCTCGCCTCGCTGTGGGCAACCGCAGGGCAGGAACACGTTACACCACGACGTGCCCGGCCCCGGCCCCCAGCCACAACCAGGCAGGGACAGCTTGGCCAACACCCCCCTCCTTCCCCATGAGGCTGAGAGCCTGTGACCACTGATTGCTCCCCAGGGACTCGTTTCTGGGCTCACGGGAAGAGCCCAGGACCACCTCGATGGGTGG